CAGGCAGAGGCAGAGCGAGAAGCAGGCTCCCTGCTGAGCAAGGAGTCCGATGTGGGACTCGATCCCAGGACTTTGGGATCATGACCTGAGCCGAAGGCAGCTGCTTAACCAACTGAGCCACCCAGGCGTCCCTATTTGCTTTATTTTTAAACAAAGTTCCCATTGCAAAAATAATGTGTCAGTGTCATAGAAATTTCAGGCCATTCAGAAGAGTACAAAGGGAAAAAAGTAACACCTCCCCTCCCACTCTCCCAGCAACTGGTTCTACAACCTTAGGATAACCAGGGCTAAGTAAGTTTGCACCACCTTCCAGAGAAGCACACATCATATGTAAATGTTATGTGCATACATTACATAATTTCTAAACAATAAATGAGATGATATTATACAGACTATTCTGTGCCTTGTTTTTTCCCACAATGGTACGTGTGGGTGGCTACACAACACTTCCTTTTTACCAGCGGCATAGTGTTCCTCAGCAGGAATGGGCTGTAACTTAACCAGTGCCTTCTTGAAGATTGCCATTTGCTTCTGCGACAAGAAATATGGCCATCTATGTAACATGATAGTGCAGGTATTTCTGAAGGACAAAGTCCAAGAATTGAGACTGCTGGCTACAAGAGTAGAGTAGGTATGTTGTAAATTTTCCCTAGGTATTAACAAAGAGCTCATCCCCCCTCCAAAAAGTCATTGTCTCTCATCCCCACTAACTGAATGCTGATGCACTTTTAAACTACAACAGGTGTCCACGGAATGAGCCTCGAGTAGTGAAGCTGGCCAAAGAATCACACAGTCTGAACTGAGAATGAGAACTAGTGCTGACCAAGTGTGTAAGTATCAGACACTGCACTTGACCTTTACAACATCTCAATAATACAATAATCCTGTGAGGTGAAGGACGCTGTCTCCATTTTTGAAAAGAGGAAACGGGGGCTCAGAGAGCTTACCCAGTCTTATGGAGTTTTTTCAGTAACGGAGGCAGCATCTGAACCCAAGGGATGTGGTGCCAAAATGAGACCATATGGAGCCGCCCCGAACTGGGGCCAAGGTGAGGGGCTCTTAAGAACAAAACCAAAAACAAACGAGGGCTCCCAATTAGCCAAGAATAGGGTGGCTCCGAAATGTTCCCTCACACACAGGCTCAAACGTTCACTGTACGCTACATCACAGTGTCCTCCTTCCCCTTGCAGACTTTGCCTGTAAACCCCTCTCGGGCTGCACTTAGCCATTCAGCTCCGAAGAGCAATGAGGAGCCCGTGGTCCACAGGACCTGGCGGGGGCGGGGGGCTGACCAACACATACTTGGAAAGTTGATAGGCGTGGAGGAAGCAAGAAGCAGGTGGTGGGCTGCCAGGGCCAAGCTAGATATTTTGGACCTGTATCAGCTGTCACGAACAGTACAAGGGAAGTGGAACCAGCATCCACATGAGAAAGAACCACAGTTAACGGACACAGTCCATTGATACCACCTTTCCCCACCTCCAACACTTGCCATGTCCGGGAACTTTCAGAGGGCCCTTAGCAACGTGCAGGGGCAAAGAGCTGGGAGCTCCCTGCCTTGACAAAACAGGTTAGACGGGTGCCAGGTTCTGGCTTCTGGTCCACGGCCTCTCGCAGTTCCCAGCACAGGGCCTGGGGGGCAGCGGGGAGCGGGGGTGCTTCTTTCACGTTCCTGGAGGGTCTGGTCTGTGGTCACCGGCCCTTACAGCTACCTGGGTCTGTTGTCAGGGAGCAGTGCTTCTAACTGTCCCCTGCCAGTTAAATGTTGAGCATTCACAGTGTGTCTGGTATTGTCCTTGGATCCTCTGCATCAGACTAAGCAAGGGCTTAAGATGGGAACTCTCGGTGCACGCCACTCCTAGTAAAACATGACTCTTCGTCAGGGATAGTGAAATAAAAAGGAGAGAGGGAAAGGAAGGAAATCTCTTTCCCCTTTCCCGTTTGGTCTGCATTCCAGGCACAGGGCTCCAGAAGTTCCATGGGTACAATCAACAGTTGAAAGGTCACAGAAAGGAGGATATAATCATTAAAAAAAAAAAAGTCACAGAAAACAGATAACAATATAGTTTAAAATGCGGAGAAGTGGGCATCAAACTGGATGATTTGAGGAGCATCTTAAAATGCCATCAAAATGCCACAGAATGGAGGCAAGAACACACAGAGAGGTAATTCGGCTTCCGTAATTCAAAAATTGAAAAGCAGAAAAGAATATACGGTGATGTTTCCCTCCCACCTCACGTCACAGCCACCTACTTCCTTTCCAGCAAAAAAAGCCAACGTTACTAGTCTACTGACTGTCCTTCCAGAAATATTTTATACCAGCAAACTCATATAATCACAATTTATTTTGATACGGATATATATAAATATATAATTATTTATCATAACTTATAAATATTAAAGCTTTCCCTTGCAGATTAAAGTGCCACTTAAATATTTTTAAAGGGGCAGAAATTAACTTTTTTTTTTAAGTTTCAAAGAGTTCTGAAACTTGCAGTTGAACACTTTTCACTCATAAAAACTTACCAACATTTGAAAATTACCTCCAGAAATTAAGCTGGGCACCGGACACACAGCAGATACTTAAAAAATGTTTTCTTACGTCTTTTTGTCCTTTATTACTCAGAGGCAATGGGACAATTACTCACTTCCTCTACTGATATCAAGAAATGAAATGTTTTCTCACTATGATTAACAAAGAGAAGTCCTGAAAATCTGTACTATATTCACTTAAGCGTTCAAAGACTTTCATACTGAATTTTTAAAAATCAGAATCCCTATCCCAGAAGCCTTCAGAAAATAATGAATAATTAGATAATCAAATGACATTAGAATTCTGATGGAGGGCGTGTGTGTGCTAAAACACAAGACTAAATATCCATGAGACAGAGAACTGTTTTCTCACAGTTACAGGCTAAATATTCACATCAAAATATTAGTATTTGGCAGAACCTAGGACATCGCATATTGACAAACTAAATTTCTTAGTATATTTCAGAGTAACATGAAAATCCAAAGACAGAGCAAAATGACACAGAATGTTATGAGATGATGTTGCCTCTTCAGAACTATCATCAATTGAACCAGATCTCAGTACCACAAAATGACAAGGTACACTGCAGCAGGGCCCCAATGACTAAAAGATTGAGATGAGTTTAAAAAGTACGTATAAGCGGAGGAAAATTCCACTATTGCTTGTAGGCCTTAAGATGAAGGTGACTGACCTCCTAAAAACATGGAGTACTCCCTCAAAGAAAAATATTTTTAAATCCTCATTTTCCATGTGCTCGAACGTGTATTTATGAGCCTGTCCAATCTACCTTCTAGAAATATTTCACACTGTGCTTTAATGGGTTGGATCTAGAGGCTATAAAATAAAAATATGTTCATGGTTCTCTATAGACATAGAAGGGCAAATCTTCATTTGCATTATCTCTCAGAGTCGAGCACCTGAAATGACAACATGCTTCAGCTCCCACCCTGTTATCTGCGCAGTACACCTCCTAACTTACCTGCGGCCCTGGCATTAGTCATTTGTCACCCACTGACACAAACCGCAGAGCTCAAGAGTGGCCAGGTATCCAGGCCGACGTTTGAGTTCAGGTCTGTAATTTGCAACAACCGAACTCAGTCTTAGACCTGGTCCTGTTTCAATGACAGATCTGTTTAGGCCTCTACCTCTTTAAAATTAGAGGGCTCCTGACAGCACTTTGTAACCTTGGTGGCCATGAGCCTGGGCTGTCAACGACTGATCAAGGGTCCTGAGAAGCAAGGCCCAGGGCCAAGGGTAATTTTCACATTAAAGATTCAGGTGTCAGCTTTCCATGCTTTATCACGGAACCCCAAATGGAAATTGCATGGAGAGATCCCTCCAGTAAAAGTGATGAAGTAAAATGTTCCTTTACTGGGAAGAGTCAGAGGTGGGCTCATCTATTTCCCATGAAGATGCCCCCCTGGGCCTTAACCCCACTAAATTCAATTCAAAAAGAGAACACTTGTTTCTCCTTTGGAATCATAATGAGGGGCGGGGTGTGGTGAGAGGGATGATTCAGATGAGAGCTAACTGACATCCATGTAATCACCACAGATTTCTGCTGACCACTCTGCGCCTAACACAGCATGTGTCATTAAATCCAGAAAAGGATGGTGGCATCAGCCCACCCTTTACAACAAAAGACGGCTGACCCCAGAGTTAAAACCACTACTTTTCCTCTTCATCCACTTATAAACGTATCTTCAAAGTCAAGTCCATGTTACAATCTGAAGAACACAAAAGCTCCTCTTTCCTTGGAGAAGTCAAGTACCTGGGTATAACGTCCCACCTGGACATAAGAGTGGGAGGTGTGCCCATACACCCGACTAGGCCCGACCATGGCAGTGCACCACTCTGGATCCTGGACCACGCTCACCTTTCACGGCACTCCAGGCTCCGACTTTATTAACAAGAGACCCGGGAACACAGCTCTCCGAAGTGGGCGCTCACCCCAAGCTGACCACGGATGTGTGGAATCCCTCAGGCCCCGGCCACCCATACCCAAACCCAGAAACCCTCAGCCCTCGCCCCCACCCTCACTGGGGCCTGCCTCTTGGGGTGACTCTGTCCCCAGGGTAGTCACCCACCTCCTGCCGCGGCACACATACCCCGTTGGGCTGAACTGGGGTGGAGGTGGGGGGGAGGGGGGCGGGTGCGGAAGCGCGATGCGGAAAGAGGGGGGCGCAAAACAGAAGCCGGAGGACAGAACCAGGCCACCTCCGTCCTTTTCATTTTCCTGGTTCCCCGATGAAGAAACATCGAAATGGGCTGGAATTCTTTTTAACGGTAACAGAAAGCCAGAAAATGCAGACAGTTGACCTTGGGAACCAACCCCGTCGCAGCGAGAAACGGAAAAGAAACACGTTGGCAAGTGAAGGAGGAGGGCGGGGTCGGGGGGAGCGCAGCGGCCCGGCCGCGAAAGGGGTGTCGGGGTGGTGGGCGCGGTGGGGGGCGGGGGGTTGCTCACCGTAGATCATGGCCAGCCCCGTCTCGTGCAGAAAGCGCACCCGGCGGTGCTTGAAGAGCCAGATGGTGAGGATGGTGAGCGTGAGCAGCAGGATGAAGGTGAGCAGGCTCACGCTGTCTTGCCGGTGGCTCTCCTCCGCCTCCTTCTCCGTGGCGAGCTCCTCCATGGCGCTGCTGTCCACAGCCGCCGCCCCAGAGGAGGCCGAGGCCGCGGCGCGCAGCCCCCGACCCAGCAGCAGCGGGAGCAGGGGCAGCAGCAGCAGCCGCGGTGGCAGCGCCCAAGCCGCCCGTCCCGGGCCGAGGCGCGCCGCGTCACCAGGCTCCATGGACCGTGGGCCGCCCGCGCCTCCTGCGCGCGGGGACCAACAGCCCGCGCCGTCGGCGGCTTCCCGCGGCGCCGCCGACCTGGCCGAGTCGCCGCCGCCGCCGCAGCTCCTCCCCCCCGCGCGCGCCGGGCCGGGGCTGCGCCGGGAGGCGCGTGGGGGAGGGGCGCGCGCAGTGCGCAGGATCGCCAAGCACCGCCCCCCGCCCGCGCACCTGTTCGGCCCCCAGCAGCGCCGCGCTGCGCCGTGCCGAGCGCTCTCGCCGCGGCCTAAGCTCACTGGGCTGGGGCGCTCCAACTCAGGGGAGCGGCCGTCGGCCCCCGGCCTGCCTGCGCTCCTCACCGGGTCTCGGCGTACCTGGCCAGGCCGTCTGGGGTCGCGGGGCCGTTCCTGGGCAGTCGCCGCCGCGCTTCCTAAACGCGACGCCAGAGGTCGCCGGTGCCTGGCAGGAGCGGCAGCTTGGTTTCGCGCGCTGTGCGATCTTGGGTCCTGTTTCTGGGGCCCCCCCGCGAAGTGGTCCGTCTCAGGCCAGGGTGCGGCTGTCCTGAGCCCAGTCAAGGGGCGGGGGTTGGGGAGCACCCTGGGGGTAGAGAAGATTCGCGAAGCCACGTTGCCCGCTCCACCCCTCTTTCCACAACTCTCACAGTACCTTCCAGCTTTCAGGGCTTCCCAGACTCAACCAGGCTTCGTCAAACCTCTGCTCTAAGTCTGTCCCAAAGTGGGGACTGATAAGGGGTTGGAATGGGAAGCAAGCGTTCAAATACCTCTTTCACCACTTGGGGAATAGACTGACTTCTTATTCTGGACTGTGTAACCAGCCCTCTTGGGGAACAGGGTTGAACCAGAAGGAACCGAGCACTTGCCATTGCTCCTAGATGAGCAGCAGGGGGGTGAGGGTGGAGATTACACTGGTGGCCCTTTTATGTTGACCTTACGGTAGCCCGGGGAGTCTTTGGATGATTCTTGGGACAGCTCCGGGGAAAAAAATTATAAAGCGGACTCTGGAGGATAAAGTCTCTTGGAAAAATTCTTCAGGAACTAGAATTTTCATTCCACCTTGTTCCTATGATCAAGGAAGAAAAGAGATTGCATTCTCTTTTTTTAAGATTTTTTTAAAGTAATCTCTACACCCAACATGGGGCGCGAACCCATAACCCCAACATCGATAGTTGCATGTTCTACCTACTGAGCCAGCCAGGCACCCCTGGAGGGATGGAATTCTTAATCACTGGATTCCCAGTGCCTAACCCTGTGCTCATAAGTGTTTATTGAACTGCTCTGAAATCCACACCAACAGTTCATGTTTTCTCTCCTAGGGGGTTTCCATTTTTAAGAGAATTTCTTGAAGAAAGTGGAGCTTAACTAAAAAGAATAAAGAGTAATAAGAATAAGGTAGGGATGACATTAGGTAGGAAGGATATTTGCAACACTGAAGACTGCCAGGTTCCTCTGTAGGTGAACACTCCGCCAAGCTGCTTAGTACCTTCATTAAAGCACAGGACTGTCTTCAAGATTTTAGCTAGCGTTGTTCCCTATTCGTCCAGACTGCCCCCAGCCCCTGCAAAAATCCATATATCTTGAAGCTCCATGCAGGTTCCCAATGAAATTGCAAACACCAAAAACCCAGAGAGCCACAGAGAAAATTATACAACAGGAAAACTATCCAATTTCTGGAGATTTACTAAAATCCACATTTGCTGAAAACTGATGATGTTGATCATAATATTTAATATTACAAGCTCTTGGGTTCCTGTAAGTTTAGGACAGAATGTCTCTCTGCAGACTTCTTAGTACTTACAGCAGATCGTATTTTCAAAAACTCCCCATAATCATATTTCCAATTGCACCTGTTCTTCCAGAACTTGCCACTCCCTCATCAAAGGGTGGCATCTGTGTTCCCCTGCCTTGAACCTCATTGGACCCTTGTGACTACCTTAAAGAATACAATGTGGCAATAAAGACTGCAAAACTTGTGAAACCCTGTCATAAAAGACAATCTAGTTCCTGCCTGACTCGCTCGCACACTCTTGCTGTCCACTCATTTTGGAGCCCTGAGCTGCCATGTAAAAAATCTAGACCACAGTGAGATATCACATCACACCTGTTAGAAAGGCTATCGTCAGAAAGACATGAGACAACAAATGCAGACGAGCCTGTGGAAAAAAAGGAGCCCTCATGCACTGTTGGTGGGAATGTAAATTGATACCACCACTATGGAAAACAGTGTGGAGGTCCGTCAGAAAATTAAAAATAGAACTACCACATGATCCAGAGGTTCTACTTGTGGGTATTTATCCAAAGAAAGTGAAAACAGGATCTCAAAGATATATCTTCATTCCCATATTTATTGCAGCATTATTCACAATAGCCAAGGTAGGGAAACAACTTAAGTGTCTGTCAACAAATAACTAGATAAAGAAAATATGATATACATATATACAGAGAGAGAGACTGAGATATATAGATATAGCTATACACACACACACAATGGGCCATCCAGCCATGAGAAAGAAGGAAATCCTGCCATTTGCAACAGCATTGATGGATCTCGAGATCCCATAAGTCAGTGAAATAAGTCAGGCAGAGAAAGACAAATACCATATGACCTCACTTACATGTGGGATCTAAAACAGCTGAACTTGTAGAAACAGAGAGTAGAATGTTGGCTACCAGGAGCTGAGCGGTGAGGGCAATAGGGATGTGCTGGTACACAAACTTGCAGTTACAAGACGAATACATTCTGGGACTCTAATGCACAGTGTTGTCATTAGCGTAATAATTCTGTACCATATATTTGAAAGTTGCTAAGAGAGTAGATCTTAAATGAGGTCACCACGAAGAGAGGAATGGTGATTATGTGACATGATGGAGGTATCAGTTAACACTAAGGTGTTAATCATATTGCAGGATCAAATCAACACAGCATATACCTTAAGCTTACATCATGTTATATGTCAATCATATCGCAATAAAGCTGAGCCAGTCTTTTTTTTTAAAGATTTTATTTATTTGACAGACAGAAATCACAGGTAGGCAGAGAGGCAGGCGGGGGCGGGGGAAGCAGGCTCCCTGCTGAGCAGAGAGCCCTGATGCTGGGCTTAATCCAAGGACCCTGGTATCATGACCTGAGCTGAAGGCAGAAGCTTTAACCCAATGAGCCACCTAGGCACCCCAAGCTGAGCCATTCTTAAAAAGAAATCCATCTACCTTGAAGCTGCCATGCTGGAGAAACCATAGAGACACACATAGCCATAGAGACAAATACCAGAGGAGCCGCAGGTTTGTTTTTTGTTTGTTTTTTTTTTAGTGTTCCCGGCCCAAATACCATGCACCTGAATGAATGAGTCTTCCAGTTATTTTATTCCCAGCCACCATCTTACGCTAAGCACGCGAGACACTACCAAAGAAGAACCACCTAGCTGAGCCTGATCAATGCCTGAATCTATGAGATAACAACACAGTGATTTATATTACTTTAAGCTACTAAGTTTAAGTGTGATTTCTTCCATAGCAGGAGATAACCAGAAGAATATTTATGCTATAAAGTGATTGCCTTAGGTAGAGTATGAAAAGATGTGTCCCAAGTATTCACAAATCTACACCCAAAAAAATGCTCAGTTATTATACATGTTTGTATATGAAAACAAGCCTTACAATGCAAGCATTCTGACTCCATTTAACACAAAAGGATCACACTCAACCCATTCGCTTCCACTGAACAGAATGTGTGGATCAGTCATTGGAGGACTCTAAAAAAATCAATTATACCAGGTAAATTGAGGAAGAGCACCAGATTTTGAAGTAAAACAACAGGCAATGTGTTTACAATTTTTTCCCTCAGTAGCCACTGGACTGAACTCAAGGCAGTCCAAACCCGGAAGGGGACAGTGACATGGACAGGGAAGGCACCAGGAAAAGCAGAAAATAGACCTCCTAAGGTTCAGAGAGAGTAGGGAAGTACACCAATTTTTCTTTTTTCCATTCTCTCACACCCTAGCTAATAGGCAATCCCCCATTACAGCTGAGTCAACAGTAACAATGGAGGGAGCAGCGCCGTCGAGGACCTAAAATGCTGAGGGAAGCGGTGTGTGGGGGGGAACCTTCCTTTCTGGTTTAGAATAGTCATGGTCCCAAGTCAGTGAGGGCAGATGCCCATTGATGTATGGTTTTTTCTCTCTGTTCCTCCGGCTGCTTGGCTCCAGACATAGGTGAAGTTGCAGGAAGTGGATGGGAGAGAGAAGTAAATACTCGGATTTTGGGGCGCCTGGGTGGCTTAGTGGGTTAAGCCTCTGCCTTTGGCTCAGGTCATGATCTCAGGGTCCTGGGATGGAGCCCGAATCAGGCTCTCTGCTCAGCAGGGAGCCTGCTCCCCTCCCCCACCCCGTCTGCCTCTCTGCCTACTTGTGATCTTTCTCTCTGTCAAATAAATAAATAAAATCTTAAAAAAAAAAAAACCCTCAGATTTCTTGCCAAAGGATTGAAAGGGGAACTCCAAGGAACTGCAAAGTCCCAGGGAGATCTTGGAGAGGGAACAACTTGGGAAAACAACCTTGTAGAGTTGTTTATGAGCTCCTAGGTTCACCCTAACCTGCATGTGCATTTGCAGTGTCATCATAAACTTGACTGGAAAAAGATCCACTACTAAATGCATTCAGGTTTAGACAAACTTCATTTCCTTGCAGCAGTATCACCAAGGGCCCTGGATTTTTGCTGGCTGTCCATTGGAGGCCACCCTCGGGTATAAGAAGCCATCTTTAATTTCTAGAAGCTGACTGAAGTTCTTTGCCATGTGGGCTTCTTCAACATGGCCGCTTACTTTATCAGTCCAACAAAGATGATCTCTCATGCTGATCTGCTAAGAGAGACTTACATAATGTGACATAATTACGGAAGCGGCATTTCATTATCTTTGCCAAAAACATAACTTAATGGAAATCATGACGTCCCATCACCTTTGCCATATTCTACTGGTTAAAAGCAAGTCCCAGGTCTTGACTCCATTCAATGGGAGATGATTACAGAAAAGCATGAGCATCAAGGGTTGTGTTCACTGGGACTCACCTTCT